AGTTTGATGTAGAAGAAAATAAATTTATGTGCATTTTAATTATGAAACTGTTGTATAGTACCTGAGAACATGGGATCTACACTAGTGGTTCTTAACTGGAATAACTAACTGCCTCCCAGGGGACATTTAGCAACATCTGGAGACATTTTTGGTTGGAAGGGGCAAGTTGCTGACATCTGTTAGGTAGAAGCCAGGGAAGCTGCTAAAGGTTCTACAATGAATAAGACAGACTCCCAATAATAAGAATTACCTTGCCCATAATGCCAACAGTGCTGAAGATGAGACACTGATTTAGAGCCAGACTGACTTGGCTTCAAGCTACTTATAATCTGGGTAGCGTTTGGCAAGTTACTTAACGTCTTTGCGCTTACTGAGTGTCTTCACCAATAAAATTACAGTATTCACCTTATTGATTTTCTGTAAGAATAAAATAAATTAGCAATAAAGGAGCTAAGAAAAACGTCTAAAACAGGTATACACCAAATGTTTGGTTTTGTTATCATTATATGCATTGAAAAACGCTGAGAAGAAATACGCTAAAATTTTAGTAGTAGTTGTTCCTAGGTGACAAAGTGATAACAAATTTTTATTTTCATTATACTTTTATACTGCTCTATATTTTCCAAAGTTTTGAGTACTATATTTGTATTTGATATGAAAAAAATGTACTCTTTCTCAGTTTTGTTTTTTTGGTACTGGGAATTTGAACACAGGGTGCTTTGCCATTGAACTACATTTCCAGCACCCCCTCCCTTTAAAAAAATTTTTTTTTAGTTGTTGATAGACCTTTACTTTATTTATTTATATGTATTGCTGAGAATCAAACCCAGTGCCTCACACATGCCAGGCAAGTGTGCAACTGCTGAGCCCCAGCCCCAGCCCCCAGCCCCAGCCCTTTCTAAATTGCTTGCTGAGGTTGGCTTTGAATTTGCAATCTTCCTGCTTTAGCCTCCGGAGCCCCTAGGATTACAGGTATGCATCACCTTTCCCGGCTCTTTTTTTAATTTTTTTTTTTTTTTTCAGTGCTGGGGCTCAAATCCAGGGCCTCATACATGCTTGGTAAACACTCTAACACTGAACTATATACCCAGCCCTAAATTTTTTTTTTTTTTTTGTACCAGGGATTGAACTCAGGGGCACTTGGCCACTAAGCCACATCTCTAGCCCTATTTTGTATTTTATTTAAAGACAGGGTCTTGAGCTGGGACTGTAGCTCAGTGGCAAAGCGCTTGCCTAGCATGTGTGAAGCACTGGGTTTGATCCTCAGCACCACATAAAAATTAACAAATAAAATGAAGGCATTCTATCCATCTACAACTATAACAAAAATTAAAAATAATAATAATAAAAATAAAGACAGGGTCTCACTGAGTTGCTTAGCACCTTGCTTTTGCTGAGGCTGGCTTTGAATACTTGATCCTCCTTAGTCAGCCTCCCAAGCTGCTGGGATTACAGGCATGCGCCATTGTGCTCCTAAAACATGTGTCCTTTAAAAAAAAAAAAAGCAGAAGAAATAATTTTATTTGTGACCTAGTAGGTAGAACACAGACTAAAAGAACTAAATTTAGATTATGGTTCTACTAGCTGTGTGATTTTAGGCAGGTTAGTTAACCTCTCTGAGCTTCAGCTTCCTCATCAGAAATCAGAGCCAATAATACATAGACAGAACCTATGAGCAGGAAACATGATAGACATCAGGTGCTGGGGAGAGTTTGTTGAATGAAAGGCTCCAGGAGATGTTCTTTTCAAGGGAAAATTACCCTACAAATAGGGGGAAAGATTCATCACTGCAACTCCCCTTTTAAACTATCCTCTGTGAGAGGACAACTCCCATTTCATTCCATTTTTTTGCCATGGCTCACAGAAGAGAAACTACACCCACCCTTTCTGGTCCTTTTCTCTACTCCCTCCTCTCCTGACATTTACACATTAGGAAGGGATTTGATTGTTCCACTGGCAGGGCCTGACTCATTTGGCAGGGTGTATCAGCCAGCAAGTTACTATCTCTGAAAGGCAGAACCTAGCCATCACTTTCTCACATCCTTCACCCCGGCTCACCGCCCCCCTTATCTCCTCTTACACACCTGGCCTCCAAACCAAAGCACACTTGGCAAGGCCTCCTCAGGGAGAAGTCTCTCCACTATTTTTTTTTTCTCTCTCTCTCTCTTCTATCTTCTGGCCAGCTGGCTGAATAGGTTACCCCTATTTAGATTCAAAAGGGTTGAGCAGGAAGCCCTGGTGTGCACTAGCCCTGCTCACTTGAGAGGTCCTGCATGTGTTCAGTGGGCACGTGGCTCTTGCCCAGCTGGTCTGTGCTCCCATCAGGGCTGTTGCTTCTTATTATGTGCAGTACATTCAGTAGGCAACACTGGAGGTGAAGAGGATGAGTGGTCATACATCCACACCCCTTGGGGCACTTGATGTCTGTCATGTTTAATCCTTATAGTAACCCTCTCTGATGTGCATTGTTAGCCCTGATTTTTGATTTCCAATGAGGAAACTGAAGGTCAGAGAGATTCACTAACCTGCCTAAAGTCACATACACCCCTCTCCTTAAGGATTTAATTAAATGGGAAAAATAACAGAACAAAGGCTATTTTTGGTATGTTATCAGAAGGGTGACTATTTTAATCCTAGTTAGCTTGAATTCAAATCCTAAGCAAGCTTTTAGAATGTCCTGAGACAATACCTTCCATTCAGGTCCTATCTGCCATAGTTTGGGAAAGGTAGTGTGGTCCTAATCCATGCTGACATGTAGGATCCTAGAGAGAATTCCTGAGTTCTGCCATTTCTCTGGGCAGAAATCTGGGGACTGGAAGCCAGACTGCATTAAGAGAGGATGATATGGGGCAGGACCTCTCAAGACATTCACACTCAACCCAAGGTGAACTGTTTCAATGTTGGGAAATTGTGCCAGGCAACACACATCAGAGGAAAATGGGACTTTGGGAGGGTGCCTCCATCTAAATACAATAAAAATTTAAGAATATCATTCTAAGTGCAAAAGTACAAATAAAAATTTCAGGAAGATAAGGATCCCCAGGACAAAATTTATGGACACATCTTGACCTCTAGTTTGCTGCTCCAGGGCCAACCTAGCTAACATATATAAACTTCAAGCATAATTGAGACTGTTGCCAAGTTCTTAACTATACATTTGCCCTTTCACTGTCCTTCCTATAAACATATGCAAATAGAATAGACGTGATCACCAAACTGGCTGTAGTAGAACATTCTTCTTTCACAAGTTATACTGAAGCTTATCATACTTCAGGCTGCGCTACCATAGCATGAAAGTGTTACCTAAAAAAAAAAAGTCAATATCATAGGGGACACAAACCTGAAGAGAAACACCTCACTCAGTGAAGAATTTCACAAATTTAAGATTCCTGTGCCTTTTCATCCTCTTTGAATCTTAGATGTAGCAACTTTTGTAATTTTCCCATAGCTTATAAGAATGAGATTAGTCATCTGTTATTACCAAGGGCGAGAAGGAAATTTACAAAGACCAAAGGGAGAAAAAATTTTTTTAATGTCAGAAATCTCCAACATTAAGAAATTAACAAATTTCTTCTTTTTATCCTTAAAAATCTAAATTAATTTCCAAAGAGAGCTCCATCCCCTCAAAGTATGCAATTATTTTAAAGCAATAAATCCAGTGAGTTTGACATCATAGCTTATGTGCATAATTTTGGAAGTTTAAATCTGTTTTAAGAACTAGGTAAGTGTTTTAAATATAATATTCTTAGGCTGGGCTTGTTACTGTGTTCTGAGGATGAAAGACTGTTTCTAGGTTCAATTTTTTAAAAATCAACCTTGATGTAATTTCAGATTTCTTTTTTTCCCCCCTCTTTAGACATCACTTGGTCACCATAGTAACATAGTGTTTTACTACCAGATATCTATACAACACAAGGGAAAGAACAGGCAATTACTTACTGGGTTATTTGGGGGCACAGAATGTGACTACTGGGATAATTCAAGATGAAATATAAATTTCACTGGGGATATGTTTTAGCCAGGCAAAATGATTTAATCTTCTAGTAGCATCAGCTGAACAAAATTTGTAGCCAAATAGACTACTGACATCATTTGAGATAATACAAACAGGCAAGCAACATAGCTCAGTGGTTAAGAGCATAGGTTTGGCGGTCAAGTTTCTTGGACCCAAATTCTAGTTTTACTATTTACTTAGCTGTGTGATCTTGCAAAAATTCCCTAACTATTCTGTGCCTCAGTTTCTTCATCTCTAAAATGTGTGCTGTAAAAATTAAATGATTGATTATGGTGTTTAGAATGGTACTTTGCCCATAGCAAGAAGTTTATAAGTATTTTTAAATAAACAAAATAAAAATTAAATTTCCTACTTCAGCTCTTTATGCTGGGTAGAAATAATCAGATACCAAGATTTGCGTTCATGGCAGATAATTTTAGCCTACAACTTTGGTAGATTCATTTGAGAACTTCCTCAGGGCTTTCTTGGTAGTAATTCTATAAGATATAGAATTCTGTCCTCATCCAGAGCTGGGAACAATCACAAGTGCTCCTGTATCAAGAACATCAGAAAGCAGATGATGGCACAGCACAAAGGAACAGCACGACTGCCCACTCAGGCTCCCTAAGCTACTGCCAATAACCTCTGGGAACATGGGCAGAGAATAAGCAGCTGAAAAGGGGATGAGACAGGATTTTATTGTAGTGACAATGAAATCTAGTTGGTTTCTTTCCAGGATTCAAGAGAAAAAAAATTATTTTCATCAATGAGTGCTTCGTTTTATTATAAATTACTATACACAATTTCCATCCAGGCACTTACTCTGGAGGATTATTCATTTTACAGAACTAGCTAAGCATCTTTTCTAGACCCGTAACAAATCTAAAGCTCCTAAGGAGCATCTAAGCCAGGACAAAATCTCCAAATTCCCTGCAAAAAAAGAGAAAATATTATGTCCTCTGAGCAAAATTTTAGCTGTGATAACCGAGCGATCTCTATTACATACCTTCATCCGGACTTGATTTCTGAGAAGGTCTCCTTGGGTCTTCTTGGTCAGGCACAGACCTTGCATAGGAGTTTGGAGAATGCCATAAACCACCAGGAAATCTTGGGGACACGCTCATATCTGTCCTCTGCCTTCCCCTTGGCTCACAGCCTGCTTCCTGGTAGGGAGACAAGATGACGCTGTGCTGGGTAGACTGTTAAACCATCTTCCCGCCCCCAGCCCCACTCTCTGGGCACCCCTCCCTTCTCCTTTCCAAGGCTCTGGAATGTGTCACATGGGAAATGGATCATGTGGCTCAAGGGGAGAATGTGGCCATCTTCTCCTTCCCTTCCCCCACTTTTCCTTTCAGCTGCGGAAATCTCTGACCTGATTGGCTCCTACCAAAAATCTCCATATGAAAAGGGGAAGATTCAACTACCCAAACCTCCAGCTTTCTCTACTTTCTTTTTTTTTTTTTTCATCCGACAATTTCATCTTGAGCATGCAGAGCTGCTTGGTCTGGGAGGGAAATGATGCTTTCTCGCCAATCTTTCTTTTTCTCTATCACCATCAGTATCCTGACATGGCAAGGTGTTCCTTAACTCCCCTATGGAGCCCCCTTAGCACAGCTGGGACAATCGAGTGTTCAGCACCACGGACAGCATTACAACCCATTCAGCACTCGTTAAAGTCATTTGTCCATTTCTTTCTCAGGTAAATAAAAATATTTCAAAATATTTCCCTGAGGTCTTCTATGTAAATATAAATTATACCATATATTTGGGATTCTGACTTCCTCTACTGTCAACTTACTTATAAACTTACCTTATAAACATAATTTTTATTTCTTTAAACCCTACCCTTTAGATATACTGTTTTTGTTTTCTTTTTCATTTTGGAGGAGGATAGAAGGTGGATTTTCATAACCGTTTTACTATATGTCCATATCTCTATGCTTATGGGAAAAACCATAACAACAGAGGAATTCTTGGGTGTAAAAGCCCAGATATCTTTAGCCCCATCCCTAGGCCTCAGGCAAGGCTGAATAGAGGCAGGATGCAAGCCTGGCTTGAGCTGTTTTGTGTGGGTCTATCCTGCTTTGCTGACGTCCTGGTTGCCATGGTGCTAGGTAACTGCTGAAGGGGATGATTTCTTTCAAAACCAGTCACCATGGGACCCTGATGACTAAAGAAAGGAACAAGGAAAAGGCTGAATTGCCAAGAGGGCGTTCAATTAGTATTTTCAGAACCAAATTTACCTAATGGGACCTTTCCTTACTGAATTGTTGCTGACCCTAAATATTGAAAGGATTCTGGGAATCAGTATGAACACTGAAATGTTAACTCCTCCCATCCTCCCGTTGCTTCCATCTAGGTGCAACTGAATGAAAATGCCAGCCTTGTAGAATGATTGTGGAGTGTCATCATAGAGTGGTGGGAAGAACACAAGAGAGGTACTTCTCTTTAGGTTGGGACTTCTGACTTTTGGGGAGCCATTCATCTGAGTCCAAACAGTCTTAATTGACAAATACATTAGAATCAAACCTCCTAATTATTGATACTTGAAACAGTTTGCAAATGCTTTACAATTTTAGGAGAAAATGAAAAATAGTTTTGAATATAAATTGTTAAGTTATTTTAAATAAATATAAATTCAATAATTGGACAGCATTTGGATGACCCCAAATCAGGAATTTAAACTAGGTAAAAACTTGTTTCATAAGGTTGGCATATAACTAACTGCTTCTGAGATTCCAAATAAAGGCAATTATGACTATTGATGTTTTGGAGGAGAAATGCTAACATACAATGTGCATAAATGCAAACTTTGTTAAAAGAAAGGTGGCAGAGAGGAGCTGGAGTGTAATTTTAAGACCTTGACTCAACATCCATGGTTTAAGATATTGATATTTCTTATTTTTATTTTAGAAGAGTCAAGTTAATTCTAGTTTTTCTATATAAGACTCAAAGAAATTTAAGTCTTAATTCTGACATTTGCCACTTTCAGAAAATCCACTTATCAAGAAAGCTATATGCACAGCCAGGCCTGGTGGCACACACCTGTAATCCCAGCTACTCAGGAGCCTAAGGCAGGAGAATTGATAGTTCAAGGCCAGCCTGGGCAATTTAGTGAAAGTTTGTTTCAAAATAAAGAATAAAAAGGGATGGGGCTTAATTCAGTGGTAGAACACTCCAGGTTCAATTCCTAGTACCACCAAAAAAAAAAAAGAAGAAGAAGAAGAAAAGAAAGAAAGCTAGATACAAATGTTAAGAAATTCTTAGGGCAACCCCTATTGGGTCCCCTCTTGCCCTGCCTCTTTTCTTCTCACTTGAATAAATCCTACTCCTTAAAAAAGAATCTTAAAAGTCAGCAGGCTGGTGACTTGAATATCACCTCCTCACTTGGTCAAATAATAATAACAATAAGAACAACTAATATTTTAACACGTGCCAGGTATTTACATACATGGTGTCCCTAATTGTCCTATCAACTCAATGAGAGGAATTATTACAAATATTTCTGTTTTACAAATGAAGAAACTGAGGCTCAAGAAAGCTAAGAAGCTGCACAGTTTTAGGGTGAAAGCTAGGACTTGGAAACATCTCACCTACTACAGAGGAGGCACAGTGTACTATACTATTCTTTATCATGAATAAATTAGACTAAAATAATGGGTCAAATTAATGCAATATGATCCACTACTACAGGCCTTTGATAGGAGAAATCTCAAATATCTTTTGAAATTATTTGAGACCAAAGAAGAAATAAAATAAGAAAAAAAATTATTTCTCTCTTTTAAGATGATTGCATATATCCATAATGGTTTAATGACAGAATAATAAAAATAATTTACAGGGTGTCATAATCTAAAATACTGTAAGGATGGCTATAAAACATGTTATATAATGTACTAATTCTGTGTGTGTGTGTGTGTGTGTATATATATATTTTACCTTATTTTATTTTTGTGGTGCTGAGGATGGAACCCAAGGCCTCACACATGCAAGACGAGTGCTCTACCGCTGAGCCCCAGCCCCAGCCCCACTAATTCTGTTTTTAAATGTTTAATTTGTAGATAGTTGTCTTCTATCCAAACCCACAAAACCCCACGACACTTGAAGAATTGAGGTATCTCTAAAAAAAAAAAAAGAATGTGTGTGTGTGTTTTTCCCTCCTTGGCCTAGGGAGTCTAGTTACCTTTGAATAGTGTGGCACTGTTTGAAAGTTACAAAAGGAATAGAGGGAAAAGGAATTAATATTTGCCTTCTGAAATTTAAAATAGGAGCAAAATAGACTTGAAATCTAGTCTTGACTAAATTCCTTTATTCTGCCCTTGGCTTGTCATCAACCAAATCTAGATGTTGCTCACAGTTTTTTTTTTTTTTTTAAATATGTATTTTTTTAGTTGTAGATGGACACAATACCTTTAAAAATAAAGGTATTTATTATTTTTATGTGGTGCTGAGGATCTAACCCAGTGCCTCACGTGTGCCGGAGGAGTACTCTACCACTGAGCTCCAACCCCATCCCCGCCTCAGTTTTTTGTATAGTAAAGCTACATCTTCATGCAAAACTTTCCAAAGGGTGTCCAAAGAGTACAGACAGTCTTATGGGAACTAATTTCAAGATCCTCAGTGTCCACAAGCACGCCTTCTGGAACTGCTTTTCCTGAGAACTGGTGCAGTCAGGACACCATGCTGCTCTCAGTCTCCACTCAGCAGTTTTTCTTCCATTTTGCCATAGAATGTCAAACCTCTCACCACTGTTACCTCAAGCCCCACAATGGTGCATTCTTTGAACTTGCAAACCTCTTGAGGACCCAACAAAAGAACAACTGGAAATATTGGGGATGGTTTTGAGAAAGTAAATGGCTCCAATAATTGGGTAACAAATCCTTTTAGAAGTAAGGAAATTTCCAGTTGCTTTAAACAAAATTGAAAACCAACTTCTATTCAACTGTCCACTGAGAAATTCATTAAAATGGTTTTCTTTTTGAAAAGCTCTTTTTTTTTTCTTAACAGAAGAATGTCAGCTAATAAATGCAATTTTATAATCAGAACACCATTTTTATAGCCTCCTATAAAATAACTGATTCAGGTAAAGATCATGATGGGTAATCAAATCATTAGTGAAAAGTAACTGCCTGAAGAAATGAGAAATATTTTTTAATATTTATTTTTTAGTTATAGATGGACACAATGTGTTTATTTTACTTAATGTGTTGCTGAGGATCGAACCCAGTGCCTCACACATGCTAGGCGAGTACTCTACCTCCGAGCCACAACCCCAGCCCAAGAAATGATAAATATTTATGGAGACGCAAATGCTAATTATCCTGATGTGATTATTGCACATAGTATACATATATTAAATTATAATACTCTTCCCCACTAATATGTATAATTATTATATATCAAAAAGTTATTGGGGAGCAGGTTGTTTACAAATTATTTAGAAAGTACAAAGGGAAATGTATTGTTTTCCATGGAAAGATTGTTGGGTGGGGGGTTACCATCTTAAACAAGTGACCAAATTTCACATCACTAATAATGGAATAATGTAAACTTAAGCCTGATGTGAAAGGATGTGATCTATTCAACATTACTGATGAAGTACTCTTTTAAAAATGTTTACCCTGAATCTGATCAAATATTGATACATAATATCTTTTCATTTTTTTAAAGGCAAGGAGTAGACAGACAAGTTAAAAGACACCACAAGGAAATAATTAGTCAAATTGAGAATATAGAATATATAAGAGAGCTAGCCTAGAATCATCTAAAAGCCAACATCATGAATAAGGTTGCCTACCACAATGAGTTACCTCCATGCTGAGAGGAGTGTTTGAGGCAAAGGATCTCTTCCTTTCGGGACTACTGTCCAACTCCCTCATACTTCATCCCTGAATTTTTTATGGTCATTTGGGCCAATGGCAAGTTCCACAACAGCATGATCAAAAAGAGATAGGGTAGTCAATTATCCCAAGCCTTCCCTGTTCCTTTGAAACATGGATGCTGAATTAACAGCCAGGAGACTATAAAAGCTAAAGCTAGGTGACCCCATACCAGTGGCCAGTGGGAAACAAGTCTGCAGAAGGAGGTGGTTTGTGCTCCCTAGGAGATTTACCCGAAACCAGAGACTGGATGTGAGTTCACCAGTTGAATCTTCAGCATCACA